TTTTTATGATTTATTGTAGAGAAGAGGTCTCGCTGCCCAGGTGGGTATCGAACCCGCGGGCTCAGGCCATCCACTCCCCTCAGCCTCCCAAAGGCGCGGGATGACAGGCTGAGCCACCGAGCCCGGCTTGACCCGGGAGTTGTTACGGGATGCCTCTGGATGGCAAGAGAACCCATTGGGTCCTATATTAGCCATTAGCCTTAGTCATGTCTTACATATGTCTTGTATACCCGTTAGCCCTTGTTGCATACGGGGGGAGGGGTGCCCCCAAAAAGGTATACTCTTTTTAAGTATGACGTTTGCTCAAAAGTTGGCATTAAATCAAATGAATGCTAGCATCACCATGCAACAGGCAGGACAAAGAAAATGGAAATACGGTTGACCAATGTCACACTACACATTGTTACCATAACTCCATTCAACTTTGAAAAGTAATTCATAAAGCCGGGCTCGGTGGCTCAGCCTGTCATCCCGCGCCTTTGGGAGGCTGAGTTGAGTGGATGGCCTGAGCCCGCGGGTTCGAGACCCGCCTGGGCAGCGAGACCTCATCTCTACAGTAAATCAAAAAATCAGCCGGGCGTGGTAGCGCGCGCCTGTAATTCCGGCTACTCAGAAGGCTGAGACGGAAGGATCGCCGGAGCCAGCAGGTGGAGGCTGCGGTGGCCGGGAGCGGCCACTGCACTCCAGTCTGGGCGACAGAGTGAGACTCCAACTCAGAAAAAGAAAAGTAATTCATAGATGGCAGCTCTTAAAAATGTGTATTCATTTTGTGCTTGTATGTCTTAGATACCCATAAGCCCTCATTATGTCTTTTATATGTCTACATGTCTCAGACTCATGAGCCCTAGTTAGATCTTGGGGCCTAGGTGATGATGATTTCATGATTAAATACTACTGAGTGCACTCAGGCTGTCTTTGTCTCCCTAAGGAGAATATTAATAGGTTAAACCACCCAACCCTAAAGAGTCTCCATGAATTCTGAGGCAGCATGCTATACATCGTCATACAAAAGGTCCCAAATGTGCCAACACATCGCTTTTGGTTAAAAGTTGTGTTTTGTTTTGCGGTGACAAGGCTATGGATGTGCTGGCTTGCAAAGTCAAGGACTATGGACAGAGGGACATGGTGGGCCGTAAGTAGAACGAGGGGAACAATGGAGCAGTACAAGCTCCAGGAAAGGGTATCAACTGCTTATTCCATCAGATCAATGAAAATGTAGTCAGAACAAATTAGTGAACGTGCCCATAGTTGCCAAGAACTTGTAAAACCCTTAATTAAGCCGGACTCAGTGGCTCAGCCTGTAATCCCGTGTCTTTGGGAGGCTGAGGTGAATGGATTGCCTGAGCCCGTGGGTTCGAGACCTGCCTGAGCAACTTGGCGAGACCTCATCTCTACAATAAATCAAAAAATCAGCCGGGCGTGGTAGCGCATGCCTGTAATTCCGGCTACTTGGAAGGCTGAGGTGGAAGGATCGCCGGAGCCCAGCAGGTCAAGGCTGCGGTGGCCAGGAGTGGCCACTGCACTCCAGTCTGGGCGACAGAGTGAGACTCCAACTCAAAAAAAAAACAAAACAAAAAACCCTTAATTAACATAGAGTAATTTCTGCTGCTGTAGAAAGACTTTATGTAGTCACTGATATACCAAGTTATGTTAGCCTGGAAAAAGTTCACTCACGTGGTTTGTAGAAATGGGCTGGAAAATCCTGATTACTCATCTATGAGGTTATTTCCATGAAAATCAATCACCCAGAAACTATCAGAGGGCCTTGGAATATATTACTCTACCCTACCTATCTCATTAAAAGATTTAAGGACAGAGAACAGTTGAAGGACTCAAAGCGGTGACATTGAAGGAATTTCAAAGGATGTGAACAAAGCATCAGCATAATTGCACCCTTGCTCTTTCTTTTCTGTGCTGTGGCCTTTTCAGCTCAGCTTTGAGTAACCACATCAGAAATTCTTTATTGTGTTTTTCTAAATCTTATCCATTCTTCACATCTTAGCTCAAAAGTTTCGCCTCTATAAAGCTTTTCCTCGTTACATCAGGTCAGAATGTTCTTTATTCTAACTCCAATACACAATTGGGGGAATTGCTCATTTAGTCTTTGAATACTATCTTTTCTATTTAAGCTTCATTATTATATATTGTGTCCTACCAATGAGATTATCAGCTCTTGACTACTGACTGGAAGTTCATTGTTATTTGGCAAATGGTGAATAAATAACTGAAGTCAGAAAGTTCTTGTGTAAGGATCATTAACTCCACCTGCACTTAAAAATAACTGTTGACACTTGGCGCTGTTACAAGTTTTGTATTTTCAGCTTGCAGTTTGAGGTAGTCCTCTTGTGACCGAAGCATATGCTACTCTTCTTCATTGAATAACCCCAGAACCTCCGGGATTGATAATTAGAGGAGATACTACTGTTGGGAAGAATGGATGGATTATGCTGTGCTGGAATTACAGGCACGAGCCCCAGCCAGAATCTTTATCTTAGAACTATAGAATGTGTTGAAGGCTCGCAACTTCCAAAGGGAAACTTGGACAGTAAATTGCAGTTCATTTTAGTCACTTTCAGCTCCTAGCACAGAAGCAGCCACCCATCCCCACCACTAGCCCCAAGGAGGCAGTGGTGCACATGCTCCTGGAGTGGTTTGCACACCGCTTGTAGGAGCTGGGGTTGGCAAAAAGGACCCTGTCCTCTAAACATTGAGAATCTGTGCTCTGGTTGCTAATTGTGACTTATGATCACAGAAGTGCAAAGAGGCAATAGCCATTGTTGCACTTCCTCCCATTGTTACAAGCCCCTCATCCTCTGAATGAAGTGCCTTTCAGAAGAATTAAACAGCTGGTACGCCCCACCCCCATTGATTTTTCTCTTTTTTCCCTTTTGGGAGCCAGACATATAAGCAACTGCATACATGGGAAAAATTAGAATCATGGTGCATACCCAGGGAAAGGTTGCAGGCACAGAAAAGGCTTGAGAATATCTTAAGTTTATACTTTAGGCTGCTCCTAGGCACAGATAGCCTACAACAATCAACTAAAGTAATAAAAACATTAACAAAATGGCAAACCCTACAGAAGGGGAAGAATCTGATTTCCACAGTTACCACGTTATTAAATTCTAATGTCTGATTTTCAACAACAACAAAAAAATCACAGGATATAAACAAACAGGCAAGTATGACCCATTCAAAGGGCAAAATACACCAACAGAAACTGATGCTGAGAAAGATTTGATGGTGAATCTACTAAACAAAGACCTAAAAACAATGTCTTGAAGATGCTCAAAGGACAAAAGGAAGACAAGAAAGTCAAGAAAATGATGTATGAACAAAATGGAAATGTCAATAAAGAGAAAACCTAAAAGAAACCAAAAGGAAATTCTGGAGTTGAAAGTACAATAACTGAAATGAAAAATTCACTAGAGGGATTCAAAGGCACATTTGAGCAGTCAGAATAAAGAATCAGTAAACTTGAAGATAGGATCATGGAAATTATTGAGTCAAAAGAACAGAAGAGAGATTGAAGAAAAGTGAACAGAGCCTAAGGGATCAGTAGGAGACTGTCAAGCAGGTCAACATACATATTGTGATAATTCCAGGAGGAGAGAGAGAAGGATGATGAGAATATGTGATGCCATAATACCTAACTACTACCTACATTTAATGAAAAGCACAGGTGGGCTCGGTGGCTCAGCCTGTAATCCTCCGCTTTGGGAGGCTAAAGTGAGTGGATTGCCAGAGGCCGCGGGTTCGGGACCCGCCTGGGCAACTTGACGGGACTTCATCTCTACAATAAATCAAAAAATTAGCTGGGTGTGGTAGCATGTGCCTGTAGTTCCAGCTACTTGGAAAGCTGAAGTGGAAGGATTGCCAGAGCCCAGCAGGTCGAGGCTACAGTGCCCAAGAGTGGCCACTGCACTCCAATCTGGGCGACAGAGTGAGACTCCAACTCAAAAAAAGAAAGAAAGAAAAGCACGAGTATAAACATTCAAGAAGCTCAATGAACTTCAACTGGGATGAACTCAAAGAAACCCATACTGATATACATTGTAATCAAACTATCAAAAGAATTTTTAAAGCAGCAAGAGATAGTAACTCTCCACATACAAATGATCCTCAATAAGATTATCAGC